CTTTTTCATTTCTATACTTTTAACATAAATTTTACCGTCTCTTATTTCACGGTAATTTGACTTTGAAATGTCCCTTACTAAAAATGTACACCAAAACGGTTGCCACGATTTTGCCCAAAAATTCAAAAACCAAAAGATTTAACCTGAAACAAAAAAGAAAATGATTTAGTTTTTTATGACTTTGGCCATCGCTGGATACGAGTTTATTAGATTTTGTTCATTTCAATGATTTTTACAGCTATTCTTGATCTTGAAAGCGTAGATTTTTTTTGTTTGTTCATCATATCGTAAAATTGTTTAATTTCCCAAATTTCTCGTGTCAAAAGATAGCCAAAGTCCTAAAAACACTAAATCATTTTGTTTTTTTGTTACAGGCGACTTTCCTGAGCTAAATCGTGTCAACCGTATTTTTCGTGAGGAACATTTCAAAGTCAATTTACGGTCAAATGAAAGACAGTAAAAATTCAGTAAAATGTATGTTAAAAGTATATAAATGAACAAGTTAAATGCAAAAAACCGCACGCTGATTGCATTATTGGTTTCCCTACGATTCACTCTAAAAAACAGTATCAAAAACGAGGCCATTTTCGGGAAGATTCCTTAATCTAATGTTTGATGAAGGACTACCAATCATCATTAAGATGAATTGCATATCACTGATACCCAATTGTGATACTGGTGTGTTACTAATTGCGATAATACCCAATTAAGTTTAAGAACCACTTTGCCACTTCAGGAATAATCGATTTTTAAACTTGTAACAAATTTTTTTCAATTGTTTATTTTTTCAAAAAAAAATCGCTTTTTATTCAGAACTATTAGATCCAATTGATATTAGACAACTTGATGTCAATCTATGCAGAGTGATGCGAAACGCCAAGAAAAATTAGCAAGTCGGATTTTCTAGCCAATAGACAATCTTCTCCTTTGGCAAGTTAACATAACGAAGGAATAACCAACGTTCAATTGATTAACAAAAAAATAATTCCAACGTGAAAAAAAACAACATTCAATTGATTTACTAGAAAATTAATTCCAATCACTTACAATATAAAAGATTAAAAATTATCATTTTAAAAATAACTGCTGTATGGAAGCAAGTATGGCGCTAATAAAGGATAGATTCCATCTCGCAGTTGAAATATTCATCTCATTTGCTTATTTAAATAGTTTGAAACTACTCCATGAATTGTGCAATGAATTATCCATACTCAGTATTATGAACCCAATTAGGTAGACAACCATCATAAATAATAAAATAAAATGTAGTGTAAATGTGGTGTAAATTTGGTAATTGTTGAGTGGTGTTTCCATACCATGTAGATAGGCATGTCTGGCAGAGTTCAGGCCTTGTTTCACCATTCCTGTCTGCATCATTATCATGCCGACATCTGAAAACGGGCCAACAGAAAATGTGTTCGGGACGAACAGAAAATAAAATAAAACACACGTAATTATAAAAATAGAAAATAAAATGGCACACGGACACACGTGTTAGATCTAATATAATGACACGTTGATAAGTGATGCGATAACACACGCTGAAATATCAAAAATTCATTACTGGAAAAATACATGTTTTGGATGTGAGTGATCTTTAAGTTTTTATTATATGTGGCACGTTTGCCTTTGACACGCGAAATTATATTTGTACTGCTAATGTTGAATTTTTTATTTACTGCAAGTACCATTGTCATGACACTGTTCGCAAATGCCACATTGATACTATTTTTTTAATATTAAACACATGTATCATTAACGGTCTTAAAAGTACTTTATAATGATTAGCTGCCGGTAGAAGACATAAATAATTAATTCATATTTTTTAGTGAAAAAGCACAAACGATTCTCTGACGTAAAAATTATTTTGGATTGCTAATGAAAATTTTATTTAAAATTCAAAAACAATTATTTTTTTTTATATACTAGCAAATGGTTTTAGCAAATATATTTACTTTATAGTAAGTTACGTTTTTAGACATTCACGTGCCTGAGCAAAATTGTATAATTTTATGAAACACTAAAAATAGATTGGTATTATATATTATCCAAGTAATTTTTTGCATTTTCTTATTGGATTCGCTTTAATTTCAATTCCCTAATATTTATTTTTTAAAATCTTATTATTGTGAAACGTAGCATTGCATTAGCAAGGAATAATTACGATTAAAATGGATGTTAGTAATAAATAAGCAAATATTTTTACACAATATAAAAATATACAGCAAGTTGTTATATGTAAAAGCGTTAGTACCAGAGCTGTAATAAAAATGTATATTAGCCAACATTTTTTACACATATATACAGAGACGCATTTTATAAATATTATATTTATAAAAATATCGTTTCGATTCTAAATCCGTCTCTGTGCAAGCTTATATTATTAGTTACAATTTATAGCAAAAGACGATATTAAAATAGCGTTCGAAAAATAAATTGCAAAGCTTTTAACCATTGCTTAATTGTATTTACAACAGCTTATTTGCAAGATTTATTTATCATAAGTTTGTTCCTACATAAAACATACTTGAAATTAAGTATTAATATGTTAGAACAAGTCTTATTTATTAAATAAAAATGAAAATATTACGTTCGAACTCTAGACAACGACTAATTTATAAAGTTTTTTAAATAGCTTGTTATAAACCCATTATGTTTTACCACCATGGAATATTTATTTCAATATTTATTAAAATAATATATATTTGTTAGTGTAATATGCTGATCGGATAGCATGTCTGTTTTAAGTTTTGTAAGTATAATTGAAATATCATGCAAATATAAAAAGTTTAGAAGAAAATGTGCACATATGAAAGAAGGGGATATATAAAAAGTTGTGATAAAAGTAGAATCAGTAAAACCAATTATATCATTCTCCAGGAATCAGTAACCAATGCTTATTTGAAAAAAATGTTCATCTATAATATTTGATTTTTTCAAATAGGCTTTTGGTGCTAAAACATTTTGTGTATTAACAAAATGTTGTTCTAAACTGTTTTCAAAATGCAAACAGTGTATGAGAAGGTAAACATTTCAGTTGGTCATAGTCATGCTATCACAATCCAAATTAAGCACCGTATATTTAAAATATAAAAATTAATTAAATTTTCAAAGTGAAACTTTGTAAAGATTTTACAAAATAAGTAACAAAATCTAAATTACCATGTGGGTTCAAATGACAAACCAGTGGTTTCCAACCTTTTTGTACCGCGCACCCCCGTTTGCAAAAAAAGTGTTGCTCTTCCCTTAATTTTTTTAGAATTTAATTTCATAAATGTTCAATTATAATTTAATTTAATTTAAAAATACAAAATAAATATCATGTAAAAATATACATAAATATAATTATTTATTCGTTAATTTTTTTTATTACATTTCAAAATTTTCGGTTTATTTTAGAAAAAAGGATTATATTATGGAAACAACCGCAAGTCCCCTTTGCAATAGTCTTGCGCCTCTCAGAGGACTCGCCCCACAGTTTGAAAACCACGAAATTAAACTTTTTATAGAATTAATTGAGAAACTATGTGTACAATAGTTAGAAATGATGAAATTTAACTAAAAAAATATTTTTATTTTTATTTTAACCGAAAAAGTAATATGTACAAATGAAGAACGTTTTGTGTGTTAGAAAATCAAAGAATAGTAATAATTGCAACCATAAATAATTATGAGATTTACAAAATAATAAAAATAAGGCCAAAGCTTGTATTTATATGACCCTGACAAAGTTTCACTTATTATTTTCATAAATTCATTTTTTATGATATTTGTTTTACCGACCAATGCTACCAAATTGTTAATATATAGTTAAATACGCGGTGCTGAGTTAAGCTAATGCGATTTGAAAATCACCAAAGCCGATTTTTACAGTATGGATTAGAAGAAAATTGGTTATTTAAAATTTTTAATAATCATACAAAATGTATAGAACATTTTAGAAAATAAGAAATCAATATTGAAATTAAAAACCCTCATTTTGGTTCATAAAAAACCAAATACAAAAAATAATAATTTAATAGTAACCAGGTTTGTCAAATTCGAAAATAGTTAAAAAAATCAAAATTGAAAAATAATTTCAGGAAAATATAAGTATGATAAACAAGTGTTCCAAACATTTTGTACAATCAAGATATATCAGGCGACAGTAGATTCAAGCACGTTTTTTTCAATTCATTGTTCTGACTGGCTTATATCATATCACAAACATTTGATACTTTGAAAAGAAACAATCTTACTAAATGTAAGTGTATATAGAAAATATTTTTGTTAATTTGTGATATAACAGAAGCCATTGTCAGACACAGATGTTGTCGGATGCAGCAGTTACCTAAATCGCCCCCATATTTAGTCCTCTGCTGTACCACCACTGGCGAAACAGAGAAATGTTAAATTTGCTCTCGCAATATAAGGGAGGACGAAAATATAATCGGCTCATTTAGATAATTCAATAAATTATTAATTATTTTATGCTCAAATTTGAAAAGTGTTTTCAAACTTGGCACAAAATCTGGAGCCGAAATGAATGAATAAAAATATTACAGACAAACCCATCTGTAGTCAATCTATATTATAAACACATTATTAAATTGGTAATTTTATAATAATATTTAGGATTAAACATGCATTATAATTAAGGCTTAAATTGGTTGTAATTTTAGATGAAAATTAATAAACATTATTTAAGAATAATTTTTTATGCGTGGTAATTGATAAATGTAAAATAATCTCCGAAAAACAAGAAACATATGCTGTTATTAACATATTTGAACTTTTTTTTTGAAACTTAGTTGTGGGATAGATAAATTTAAGTTTTACCAAAGTTAGTGCTAAAATATATAACACAACATTATAGATTAGTGCTAATTTTAATGCATGTAAAATGTTAGTTCAGAGAAAGATATGATAAAACATAGACTTCTCATCAGATATAATGTAGGAGTGTAAATTAATAATTAAACCAAAAATATAGAACATAAAAATGCACAGAACAAACTCACAGTTTTTGCATTTGCACTTCTTGATCAATGTCTCGTCCCTGATGTCGTCATGGCACGCCTTGCAGTAAAACCAAGCTCTGAAAAAAATAAAAAATATTACATTAAATTATGATGTTAAATAAAATAATTTAATAGTCAGTAGTCAGTAGACAGTATAGTTTTCCGAATCTCCAAAACAGATTCTCTCATAAATAATATATTTCAGACTTATTTAGTTGTTACTCATGGACAACATTCGTTAGCAAACATTTACTTCAACAATTACTGGCTTGCTCCATGAGATTTTATATGCCTATCATGAGAATTATTTCGTGGAAAAAAATATTAAACAAAAATCTTACATGCGTGTCATGGAAATTAATCAAAAGGATAGCTATACTGACTTAATTACTTTCATATTTAATTTTTCCTAAAATTGCATTAATTATGACTACATTAATTTCAACATTAAATAAAAAAAATGCTCAAAAATTGCATGTATAAATATATATGAAAATACTTTTTAAAATTTTGGAAACTTAACACTAGTACCAGGATAATGGCAATTGTACTGATTCAGTATAATCACCACCAAAGAAAGAACTTTTAAAACCTTTCTCGTCACAAAATAAATTTGTTAATATTTTATTCAAGAATATGGGTTAGTATTAATTTTGTTTTATTAATTAAATTTGATTTTGTTAATTAAATTTATCAAGTTTAAATAAATGCTTTAAAACAGGGCTTCTTAAACGATGGGTCGAGACCCAAATTTGCGGGGAAACATTCTGGTGTCGCGAGTGATTTTAATGTCAAATATTTATATCGTTTTATAACATCACTTGTTATTTGTATGTTCTCAATAAATTCTTAAACTATATAGTTTTATATGCATATGTATAATGTTACAAATATATAAATTATTTAAAAATATTAATTTATTTTTTTATATCAGCCGGGTCGCCAAGAAACTCGCAATTGTAAATGGGGTCCCGAAGGACAAAAGTTTAGAAGCCTTGCTTTAGAGCATAAGACATAATTTTAGTTTACATATATTCCCTCTGAATTATAATAAAAGTGAATAAATTTACTGAATCACTGTTTCACCAAACTTATTTATTATTATTAAAAATTTCATACATGTCTATGAAACAGTGATTCAGAGAATACATTTTATTTCATTATTATTGATATAATGTTTTAAAAAATATATAATATTCGTTACATAAAATTTTAAGAGAGACTAAAGCTGGGGTTGTCTAACAAACCGAATAGCGGATAAAACTACTCTTCCCGCATAAAGTGTGTTAAATTACTTACTCGTACACCAGTTTATCCATAATCGAACAATGTTTGATTTTTGTTATATATGATAAACGTAAAATATAATCAATAATCCCATGCAGTATCTTAAACAAAAGCAAAAATGTAAAAAAATCAAATTTAACTTCGAAAAATATCATTCATCAGAGTAATATTTTTAGCATGTTTTCGTTAAACTAATTAGTTATTTTTAAAAATTAAATATACAAATACAAGGTGATTTATTACCTTTTGACTTCGTCTGCTGATTGAGCTATAAAGAATCCTTGGGTGTTGGCCTGAATTTTGGCACCTCGGGGATTAATAGAAATCTTGCTATCATTTCCTTCTTCGCCGCCTTTGATCTCAATCGCCAGAAGAAGCAGTTTCAGTTTTGTGAAACACAATCTATTTGGTAATAATATAAATTAAATATATAATTTTATCAGAAATCAATTCTGAATAATGATACCGTTAGAGCTCAACAATTGATTTTGTAAATTGATATTGAAAATTTATTATTAAAACACTATATAGTTAAAAAACATGCTAATAAACGTTTAAAAATATCTAGATTGGTTTTTGAATGAGTTATTATATTACATCTGAATTGTTATTGATATTAATTATTACACTTATAGTTTTTATACGCAAAAATTTAAATATATAAAATTCGTCAAAATATTCATGCAAATAATATTAGAGTAAAGAAGATAGCAACATCAGATAAATATTTTAAAATGTTTTTTTTTCTGATATATAGGTTTTATAATTCTGATATGAAACGCGCAAGTTACATACATACTCCTAACATTACAGTTAAAATTTTTGGTGATTATCCAAAACGCAATTTTTCTTCTCTATTCTACATTTAAATCTGGTATCTGTTTTGAAGAGAAAAAAACACAATAGATATTGTTCCTTGTCTGCTTGTCACTATTGATAAAATCAATCGTTTATTAAACTAAAAATCTCTATGAATATTAATTACTTTAGAGGTGTAAAAAATACATGTACATGTCAGAATATAACCTGTGGCTTTTCTATCCAGTTGCTACCTGCATTACTATTATTTTTCTTTTATAAATCACTTTATAAATAACTAAGATTTGTTAACTATGAATTATGATCATAAATTATTACTATTATAATATTATTTAAAGACGCTATGTGAGTATAAATTTGTCTAATGTAAATCAAACGGTTGCAGAAATGTTGGGTGGTTGTTTTACAACTAATTGTACGCTATAATACGATGTTCTATGGAATTGAGCTAATTCTCAATGTTAATGATGTCGAAGAAGTGCTTAGAATCGAATAAAATTGTATAATGAGAATATATTAAAATATTATTACATAGGAAATATGACAATGAGCGCTTGATGTGAATGTTTAAAGCGGTGATACTCATGCATTTTTTATATGTACACAAATATTTACAAAATCTACACTACTGGTTTAATTTAATTGTATAATTTAAGTTATAGTTATAGCAATTAATTTTAGGTTATAATAAAAATTACCTATTAAAGTGGAACCATCTATATATTTCAGTATACTTTAAAATTATTGTTTTTTTAATTACAAATTTATGTAATAGAAGTAATTGATAAAACTTATGTGTTGTGAAGCTCAATTGAGATATGCATAGACAATTAATAAAAGAGAAAATAAATTAACAAAATTATTTTATTTTTTCTTGCTATTAAAAGAACGAATTTAAAATTTCATCTTTTCATTCTTACGAAAGATTGACTGAAACCAAAGTACTTTTTCTGTATGTGAAAATAGATATTCAACAAAAATGTAATAAATGTAGTTAAAAATTTTTCAAACATGTGAAAATTTTAAATAAATTTTAGAGTTGCTGAGAAATATCACAAAAATGTATGTGTAATATGTTCCGTTTTCATAAAATGATCTTAACCATTTATTACTAATTTAGTAATAGTAGTATCAATAAAAATGTTTAAGCATCACTTTAACAATAAAAAAGTACAAATGTTGAGACGCAATACTTGAGAAAATAATTATTACACATAGTATTTGTAATAAACAGTAAGAATAAGTAACCTTTTAGAATTTAATTGTAAAAATTGATTATATAGTTAAATTGATTATATAGTTTTCAACATCTTTAGATACAATGATGAGAAAAATAATTGGTTAATTAAAATTCAAAATTTAAATGAAAAAAGACTTGACTAGCATGCATTATAACGATTTAACAATCTATTTTATTTCATCAATAACAATTTTATTATTTAAAAATTATTTTTGTGTTATTATTAAATTATAAATTATTATTGTGTTAAAATATCCTAACATTGTTAAATCGTTATAATTTTTTTAATAGTGTACATATATGAGTTTATTAAATATTGCTATTATTTTTTTTGAGTGTTGTTAATCAAACATGTAAGTTCATAAAAGTGTATATTGTACTTCTATTATGTCATTACTATTTACAAACATGCTTTGATTACGAAACACTATATAATAAAGCTTTTTTCAATTATAATAATTTAAAATTTTTTTAATGCCAACAAAATGCATATGTTAAATTAATTAGAATTTTTGAGGGAATATTAAAAAAACTTTATTACTTAATAGAACAATACCTATTGTTAAACATTTCTAAAAAAAAAACTGGACAATACACTGTGAACTCCGTGTCCGCAATACAACTATAGAAAAAGTTGATTAGTTAAAATATTATTCATCATGCAATGTGCACATCTAGAATTTGTACAAACGTGTAGAATCAATAAGGAAATTCATTCATTTTTGAGTTTCATTGATTTCATTTATTCTTACAGTTAGCATAGTTAAAAATACAAAATATAAAAATTAATATTTGTAATGATAAGCATGATAAATTCATAAACGTGATACTAAAACAATAAAATATAAGTTCAAAATCAGTTATAAATTTAAAATTTATTTACCTTATTAACTACAAAACATCAATTAATGCATTGTAAAATAACCAATGAAACTCAAAATATATAATCCAAATGCATCAAGACTCTGTGCCGTCTAATCATAAAAAATTAAACATATTTGGGGTTATTGGTTATAATCAAGATTAGTTACTTGAACCTTCTAATAGCTGTTGTATATCTTAATATTGATTTAAATTCAATTTTAAAGTAAAAAATGTATATAAGTGTTTATTCACAGTGTCTGTTTTATCATAATTCTATTAATTCATTTATTAAAAATAATGAACTCTGATTTATTGTATTTAATAAAAAAAAATATTTGCGTTTAAAAATCTAAATTTCAAATGCAAAAGTTTTAATAAATTTACAAAGAAATCTATATTGAAAACCAAATGTAACAAGAAGTATCATTGTTTTAGCATCATTTGAGAAAATATTAATTTTGGGATCAAATAGAAGTAAATATTGTTAAAATGTATCGTTCTATAGATGAGGTCAAGAGTCAAGCCATAATTTCGAATACGTAGGCCTACTGACTAAGGATTTAATTTCTAATAACGGTAATTTAAAAGTTGTTATTGAAAATTGTAATAAACAATAATAATTGTATTGAATAATTGTAATAAGATAAATTGTAAATAAAGTATAACATCAATATAGGCTAAAATTTATACAGAGAGAGGCCTTTATAAATTTACTCTATTTTATATGTCTATTAATATTTGTAACTTTCAGAATGAGGTATTTAAATTTCTGCAGTTTGCTTGTCTTTTAGTTATATTCTTCGAATTTGGTTATATAATTCGTTAAAATATCATCAATAATTATTAAAAAGAAATTACATACATTTATCTAGGGAACGAATCAAGAAAGATTGATTTGAATAAAATCATTGAACTATGAAGGAATTTTGTACCTAAGATATGAATGTAACTTCATTGCTAACGTTTTCCATTTTATATACATATGTAGTATATTTTGTATTCATATAGTAGGGGAGACTAGGTGAGTTTGTGCCAGGTTACGGTAGTGATAAACGTCATAACAGATAAACTATACTGATTTTGAATTAAGGTCCAAAGGTAGAAAGATATCGTATGTTTGTTCAAACAAGTTCCATTATTGCATTGAGTTAGCTTTGGCGCTCTACATTAACATGATCTGTAGACCGAATTGCTTTTAAAGACTTAAAGGTAAGTTTTTTTGTGCGATTTTTTAAAATAAAAGCTGTTACTTGTGTACAAATGGATCACTTTGTTATTTTGCTGTAAGTTGAAGATTAGTAGTTAACTACCAGCAATTAGTTTTACTTTATGTGACACATATATGTTTTTTGACATGCATTTCTTGTCCTTTTTCGGATAAATTAAGTAGAGAAAAATCTAAGTCAACTAAAATACGACCAAACTTCTTTTGTTTAATATAAAAAATTCAATGCCAGTTTTGGTTTAACCTAAAAAAATCAATACAAGAAACGAAAGATTTCACAAATATTTATTGTTCAAAATATTATGTTATTTTGTTATATTATATTCATAAACTTTGATAAAATGATTGCGTTGTGCTACATACGAGTATTTCTGACAATAAAAGTCGTTATAAACAATTTTAATAGCTATTGTTTTTTAACCGATTTTAATGTCTGTCACAACCGTCCCTCGGGTGTGAACGGGTATGACTCTCCCCCTCTTATTGTATGATTTAATTTTATGACTAATCCATCGTTTTTTGAGGACACTATTTCAGTATGTTCACGTAGACAAATGTTGAAATCATAATTTAATTTATTTTTTTACCTAACTGATAAATTAACAAAAAAAAATATTGTTGATAAAAAAAGTGGCACAACCGTACTCAGTCCCTTTTCTTGTATGATTGGACTTTATGACTAATACATCGTTTTTTGAGGACACTATTTCAGTACTTTCACGTAGACAAATCTTCATATCATCATTTAATTTACTTTTTTGCCTAACTGATGAATTAACAAAAAAAATATTGCTGATAAAAAAAGTGGCACAACCGTACCCAGTCCCTCTTCTTGTATGATTGGACTTTATGACTAATCGCTTTTTGAGGACACTATTTTTACGTAGACCAAATGTTCAAATCATCATTTAATTTACTTTTTTTACCTAACTGGTAAATTACCAAAATTATTGCTGATAAAAAAAAGTAGCACAACCGTACCCAGTCTCCCTTATACAGTACGAAAGTTATAAAAACAGCCATTAGTCAGTTAATTAACTAATCCCAAGAGGGGGCTTTTGAGGATC